CATGTGGAATATTTTTTCTATTTTCACATTCTTATTGGTTCCAGGTTATTTATGTTGATTCAACACTTTTCATCATAAAAAGTCGATCTCTAGTTTTGTATATCGTTAGAATGGTTTTCGAAATTTTGCATGGTGGTTGTTTTGTGGTTTCGTTTTGAGAAACCCTAACAACACCAATACATCCTAGGGACTTCCCATGGACGTCCCTGATTTTATACTAGGACATCCCAGGGATGTCCTTTGTCGGGACAACGTACATACTTGGGATGTTCCAGGGACATCCGCTGGCCGCTAAAAAAGGCATCCAAGGGATGTCCTTCTGGTACGTCCCTGAGATGTACCAAGTACGATGAAAGGATATCCCTAGGACGTCCCAAGGATATCCCAGGGACATCCTCTCGACAAAAGAAAAAAGTTGCAGGTCGAGTAGGGATTCAACCCGGGACCTTTGGCTTATCATGCACGCGCCTTGCTCCATTGGCTATCATGTCTCCTGAAGATTTATGTACTAAACGATTTATAAACAGGACTCAACTACAGAAACCTGAATAAATACAACTTTATTAGAAATTGGGTATAATTATTATCATTCTTGGGCGTTTAAAAGTGAGGGGCATTATGCATGTACGATTTCTGTCTGCGAAAAATGGTAATTTCTTGAGAAGTTCTGAGACTTTATTCTTTATTTTCATTATAATCATTTTATGGAAGAGAAACAAACATTTTCGAAAAAATTCAACTCAATAGTTTGATGAAATTCAATGACTCTGATGTGAATGAATATCAGATACTCCAGGGACACGAATAGGATAACCTAGGGATGTATACCGGGCGGGATGTCCACTGGACAACCACTGCAGGACATTCCCTGGATGTCCCAATCATGTCCTCGTACCGCGGGACAAAAAAGGGACGTACCTAGGAAATCCCTGTGTTGTTATCAGGGTATCTGTCCTCGTTTGACGCATATAGCAGAGAGACAATTATATACACGGAGTGCGCACTACTGCGCACCTCTCATCAGTAAATATCCAATCAATGAATTTCAAAAGTACCAAAATTGAGCTGAATGTACTGTACTGAATTGGATGGGTATAGAAAATATAGAGACTGGATTTTCCCAGTGAGATCACAATTATGCATTCTCAATATTTTGTTGTAACATATCAATTCTGATACAAATAGCAAATAGATTTCAAGATATACATAGATATATAGATAGAATGGGACAACTCAGGGATGTCCCAGTCGGGACATCCCCTGGAAATACTGAGCAAGACATCCTAGGGATGTCCCAATCATGTCCTTGTACCGACAGTACACGTTGGGACATAAAAGGGACGTACCTAGGATGTCCCTGTGTTGTTAGGGTCCGCTCTGTTCCGCTCGTGCTTAAAATACTCGTTACTTAAAGGACATTTACAACACTTGTTACATAATATACTATTTATTCCTCTCGAGCTAAAGCTCTAAAGTTATTCAGATTATTAATGTTTATATGGTCTCATCAAAATGTCAAAATACAAGGTACTCTTGATGGAATCATGAGAAAAATAATAATCGGCTATTTGTCATGGTCTCGGGATATTACCTAATACAATTTTGTGGAACCTTAAACAGTTCAGTTTCACGTGACTACAACGACTTTTAGTGAACGTTCAAACATTTCAATATGCACATTTGTTTTTCTCCTGAGCAACTCACCTACTTAAAACGGAATCACCCAGTAGCTATATATATGGCAGACAGTGTCTTGAAATATGAATAACGTTATTTTTGTCAAAAAATAAAAGCTTGACACAAAGAAATATAGTTTTTGGACGGGAGATGACAAAGGCGGAAGCCGTAAATACGCATCGGTGTTCGTCTTATGAAATTTGGTCGGATTTATAAAAGTGCCAAAACAATAAAAGGGCACAAACGCGAGAAAGAATAGCGTTACGCCTCATAAATAAGCGAAATGTACGAATGCAGATATCTTGCGGAAGGTTTTTATCAACAGAATAAGAATGTCGAATTTGGCTGAATATTCCATACACTCATCACTCAATTGATGGAATTGAGTTCTCACACAAAATTCAGTATTACTATTCCATAAAAGTAAATCATTTTCATTTACAACAATACACAGTGTGTCCCAGTAAAACTTAATTGTCACCCCCAAATGTCCGATGTCGTTAAAAAAATTGAAAATTGCTCGGACAGGTCGATTTCAATTTGGCGGGGGACACATTTTTCTGCAATGGGCTTATATCACAAAATAATTTATTTCATAATTCGATAGAACTCACCCAAACTAGCTCACCACCGCAAACCGTTTCTTGCTGTGAGCTCCCTACGTTTTATAAAAAATTATTGAAATCCCCGAAACAAGACTATTCCAGACAGAGATGAATGATACAGGATGTCTGACAGAGTGAATTAGCGCGAGATCACAGTTGAAAGAAATAATCATATAATATATCAGTTGCCTCAGTCTCCGTCGGGCGTTTGGTATTTTCTTTTAACTATGGCGAGATGAGGTTTCTACGTCATAAGAGGGTCCGTTTTCAGAAGGTACTATTATTTATGTCCAAAAATAAAACATTTCAGTTAATTTTTCGATCGAATTATGTCGTCAATCATTATTTATGTATGAAAGGATCATCATAAACATGGTTTGAGTTGAAAGTTCTACTATGGTGTACACACCCATTATCAAATTCCAAAGTTGAAATCTTGGAGCGTAACGGGCATCAACTCTCGATTTTCGAATGGAGCATTCTGTATTTGATTGCATTTTTACAGATTCTCCCTGAAGAGCTGTTTTAATCAATGTATCACACTTGGTGTCTAGCGGGAATATTTAGGGTGTTCAAAATCGAGATTTTTCAACTTCGGAATATTTTGTGTCGGAACTATATTATGGTTTCTATCATTTCACAGGTTATAAAATTATTAACCCAGCCCATTTCGTAAATAAAGACTTCTAATGTTTTTATAAACAACAACAAAATATATTATACCTAATCATATGGTGCACACGTCTGTGTCTTGTGCCATTTTATTGTCTAAATTATCAATTTTACAACTTTCTCGTTTCCATAATTAAATTCTTGTATTCGGCTGATGATGGGCTTATATCAGCCCGAAACATGCACCTCCATGTGATCGATCTCAAATCGTCAAATAAATGTTGTGGAGATGACTTTGAGGTTCTTCATCTATGAAATATACCATTCCACTTTGAATTACCATGGACTTCTGCCAAACACGAAATATTATGATGGTTGTAAATAAAATAGTATACAAGCCTAAGTAGGAAGTTTCATTCCTGTCTCGAAATCATACTAACCTCGACGCTTTGACACTCTGTTAATTATAATTAATCTCACGACAGGAATGAATCACTTTCCACCTCTATGTGTCTATTATATACTATTTTGGGGAATGTACTGACATTTATTACAAAAAATAGTGTACCTAGCACGTGCGTAAAGTGATTTTACCTACTGGCCAATATGTAATGTTAAACATTTTACGACACTGATTCTAGTATCGTAATGAGATACTTTACCGCACTATTTCAATTTCCATTGTTTTAGTCAAGGCAAACAGAAATAAGAACTAATTGATCCTAAATATAGCAGATACTGAAGTATGAATTGCTTGATTTTTCCGCAATTTCTATATATGGATCAATAAATTCGTGATCGGAATTTTTTCGATAAATTTTTCTCAAATTGAAATGAACGCTTCGAAGTTGACAGTTTGGAGAATGAGTGACAACCGAGAACACAATAGATTCATGACAAGTATGTATACGTCCAACCCTTATATTTGATTGAATAATTAGCGTTTTTGGTAGTAGGTAAAATATTGTAAGTACTATATTCGTATCGTAAATTCATATTACGATAATCGATGGGTTATCAAACTCGGCATTTGGCCTCGTTCCAAATCTTTCTTTTCCAACACGTTCTCCAGATTTGAAGCCTTTGGATTTCTGCCTTTTTGGATATTTGAGAGACGAAGTATTCAAGAGATACAATAATAACCTTGAAAAGCTGCAAGCCTCAATAACACATTGCTGCCAAAATATTGGTCCGGAAATACTGAGGAACATTTTCGACAACAAACGGCGAAGAGTTTTGAAATGCTTGAAGAACAACGGAGAACGTTTTGAACATTTGATGTAGGTTAATGAAATAAACCGTTATTTATTACTTCTTTGATAAATATTATTGATTTGTTCCATTATTTTTCAAACTCCAATATTGGACTCTCTTTTCTTTGAGATACATTGCCATAGTGTATGCAAAACGATATAAAAAAAGATCCTGTATATGATCACTTCCTCTCTTTTTGGTCGTTAAATGTTGTTAACAGCATCAGTAGAAAGCGGCAAATGGGAAAGAATTTCAACAGCCACTACGATGTTACGATTCTGGAAGTCGATTTTTATAGCAGGTTAAAGGCATATATTTGGTTAATTTTCGTCAATTGAACCAGTTCAAGATATTGTCCATATCACGTTCGGCTTTTGATTTGTGATTCATCCAGTTAGTATCTCTGTAGAATACGACAGTGTCATCAGCGAAACTGATAATCTTACCACATGAGTTTAGGGACAACAATTCGTTCAGATATATCATAAATAAGATGAGTCCCAGTACCGTGCCTTGAGGAACCCCACACAAAACCACTCGCTCATTACTGCTGGTTTCACGAAGTTGTACGATTTGTTTCTTATGAGATCAGTAATTTGAGAAGAGTCTGTGATAATGCTGCCTAAGCTAGAGTAAAGTACTTACCTTTATTTGTCGGCAATTATTTTTCCATTCGTGCGTAATATACTATTTTTCAACATTTGTTACATAATATACTATGAAAGCACTTGTTTCGTCCCACTGAAATTTCATGAGAATCGATTTAGAGAAATTGACAACTCCTCAACAAGAAAAAAAGGAAAATAAACAAAGGTATATTTTGGGTTCGAAAAGTAAAACTAACAATTATTTCACAAGTTTATTGTACAGAAATTAAATTTCAAATTATGATACATTTTGTCCAAAATGATATACCTACATTAAAGTACTAGGATTATTATAAACAGTAGCGTATTAATAATATTTATATCCATTAAACAATCAATTATATTGTAATCTGTAGGATCAGCAGCTTTTTTGAAAAAAAGTTATTGAAATTTTTCAGTGTCAACAAGCCATCACTTCGACGTTGATCAAAAAGAAATCAACGAAAAAGATGACCTCAAATTCTTACCAATTCGTGGAATGATTCTTGAAAATGATGAATTTTCCACAAAGTAATTTCGAAAATCCCTACAGAATACCAATAAACTCGTCAAAAAAAGAATCAGTGTACTGTCAAAATCAGATTCATGTGAGAAGAAAAACATACCATGAAAACGTCTCCTGAAAAAAAATTCAAGAGGAATCGAATATTCCGTGATGTTTTATTTATATCCTATCCTGAAAATAAACCTAAACATTAGTTTAAACATTGTCAGAAATGTGTCTTAATCAAAAGATAGCACCCAAAATGAATCTAGTCTCAGCCATGAAAAATATCCAAGAAATGATTGTAATCTACGAGGTTACAGTGAGATGTTATTTACATATTTATTGAACTAAGCATCATTTTTTAGACCATAACCCTTGAAAAAAATCTCAATCAATGATTATATCAGTCCGATTGAGAAGTGCTACTTAAAGATTTGGAAACTCTAGTCAAAACCACCCAAATCAAGTTTTTTCACAGCTAAGATTCCCTAGAATATCGTATCACTATAACTCACATATTGTACCCGACTAGAAATCACAAAAAATATTTTGATTGATATATTCATTTCAATGATTAGACACGTACGTTGATGGCGACGTCACCAGTGCTGCCATTGCCGCTGCTCGTGTCTGAATGGTGAATGTTAACCTCCAAATTGTCGCAAAGGCTGGGCTCAGATAAACCGTCTTCCGTTTCTGAACCGCTCGACAGACTCTGGTGGACAAATGGAAATATCTGTCAGACGTAGCAAAGTTAGTAATATTCTTTTTACCAACTTCGACTAAGATTCTCAGTGCAGCTCAATAGCTCAGTTGTATCACATGTTTCATTTATCTAAGTCTGATGTGAGTTGGCTTAATAACTTATTGAGACTATTTCTTTCCCCTCATTCCAACTGTTGCCCTAACTGAGCTTGCTATTCATCTGGTGTTGTGGTGAGAAAAAGGTGAGACTGGACGTTACCACCGATAAAACAAGGCCTGCATGCTCCGTGGGTGACGTCACTTAGTCAGGCCTAACCAGCGGCTCGAAACGACAAGCGCTTATAGCGCTATAAGGCGACCGCGTATTTCGATTTTAGTTTTAGATCATTATTGAGCCGATTTTGCTTTTTTTTAAGGGCTTCCGGTTGAAAGAGGATGCCAGCCTTCAACTGAGCCCTTCTTCGCATCCCATTCGATTTTATTATGGAAAAACGAAGTTTCAAAGCAAAAACCAGGATAAAACACAAATATCCACCTACAGCAACCCATTCGAATTAAATATATTGGCAAAAATTGTAGTGATTCAATCTCATTAGAGGTAAACTTCACACCTACTTATACAGGGCCCGCAGAACATACACTTATCATGAGATTGATCGAAAGAAAATTGGGGAAAATGTATTATAGTTCGATAGACATGCCGTTTGTTATACCTAATTACCTATATTTATCTTGGAGAATTCCTATTACCTAAAAAATTAGCCAGTGAGTGTTTTCAATTTCCTGTTGTTGGATTTTTTACCCAATTGGTCGTTAGACTTGAAACAGTAATTTTTAAATAGAGTGTTTGTAGTACATGTTAATATAATAGTTGCAATTTGATCATTGGAATGAATTCTGCATTCATTGCCACGAGGCAAATGACCGTTTTCAGAAAGAAATTTGAGAATGTATTGAGTCAGAAACCAAAGAGTCCAATGCATTCGAAATATGTTTCAAAACCCTCTTTTTCTGATTATCAAGACATTTTCCCGAATTATGTAACTCGTTTTTATCTATTTCAATTAGTAATTCCTTGATTTGATTGATATTATTAGAGATAAAAGGTGTTTTCAGATTGGCTTTTAGAGATGTTGGTATCGCTAGGTCATACAAAAATGATTCCACATTCAAAACAAAATCAATCACAACCGAATATGTAATTACGGGCCCTGGAGAATAAGACAATTTGAAATGTGACTTTTTGCCAATCGATAATTTTGAACCACTTTTCGGGCAACTGAAAAGACTCTAATACAACTAGAAATTCTTGAAATTCTGTGTAGCAAAATGATTTTTGGTAATTTTCGAATTCAGTTTTACTTTTGGTAAGTGCTTGTGCCAAATTTTTAGTCTCTAGTATCTCAAGTTTTTCATCACGACTTGTGCGTAATTTTACATCTTTCGATAAATATGGACAGTTGGGAAATTGAGTGGGAATAACATCTCGTTTGAGCCTAGGAATTTTCAAATCTATTGTTACAGTTTTGCCAGATTTTGAATCGGTTGCAGTAGATGAAGTAATAATATCATCTTTAGTAAAATGTAATTCACATACTTTACTGTACTTAGATGGAGTCGTAAAATCCTTGCGGTGAATTGCATGTACCCACTTTTTCGATAGTTCCTTGTCCAACGGGAAACTAAAAGCATGAACTTTTGGACCACCCACATAATTCCCCCGACAAAAGGGAACACAACACTTGTAAGGCATTGTTATTCCGCCTATCACAACACGAAATATTTCACAAAACAGTAATTTCTCCGCCAATTATTTTGATGAATAAACAACAAGAGAATTCGAGCACACACGCGATTTACCTACGCCACCGTTCTTAAACAAAAACAAACTGACGATCGATCGACACGAATGCCTTGGAAGATGGCCTGAGTATGCGACGTCACGAGCTGTTTACGTCAGAGTCTGCTGGCCTTGTTTTATCGGTGGTAACGGACTGGATTGATTCTATACCTTTTCAACTTCAATTTCAGAATCGGTATGTTATATTTCGGAAAAGGTAAACTCGGTTTCAGAAATTGTTAACTCAATTCCAGAATCGGTGAGTTGAATTTCAGAAAATGTCCATTCAATTTCAGAATTGGTTAGTTCAAATTCAGAAAGAGAAGTTCAACTTGAAATAAATAATCCTGATCACATATTCACTATCATGAATTGAATAAGTCACTGTATGAATCTTAGTTCATAGGATGTTGAGCGTGCGTTTCAAATGGGCATCCTACAGATAACATAGTGGTAGTTCTGGATAATGCACCTGCACATTCAAGAATATACAGTGTGTCCCACTTACCATGCTCACCATGGGTATCTTTTTAACGGTGAGAGATACGAGGTCGGTTAAATGACACCAAATGTGGAGTTTGTCAAGGCCATCTATAATATGAAAAAATATTTTGATAAAATCTATTCGTTTTTGTTTTAAACGCAAAAAACAGATTTTGATCATTTTCATGTCTCCTCCGTAACTTCTTTATTTATGAAAATATTCAAATAGGAATTTCACATTCTCATGGCAATTTTTTAGAGTGATTTCGAAAACAATTTGAAATTTATACCAACTCTTCTAGAATTTGAGATATCAGCACCAACTTTAGTTTTTCAAATGTAGGTTATAGCTCACTATGACCTAGTTACAAGAAACTTTTTTTTCTCTTACAGATTATATATCGCAGTAATAGTTTTGTGTTGATAACAAACGGAGTTATCGTCATTTATACAAAAACAAAAAAATATTTGGAAGCCGCCATCTTGAATTCATGAATTTGAACAAAAAAATCATGATCTCCGATCTCAAAAACCCCCACTTACCAATTTTGAATGGAATCGGACCAAATATTGTCCGCCATCTTGGAGCAACCATTTTTTTAAATTTCAACAAAAATTCCATAACCACGATTAACTTGAAATTTGGCAGGTGTTCATAATTTCGGTGACAATACATTATGGAATTTTTGTTGAAATTAAAAAAAATGGCTGCTCCAAGATGGCGGACAAGATTTGGTCCGATTCCATTCAAAATTGGTGAGTGGGGGTTTTTGAGGTCGGAGATCATGATTTTTTTGTTGGAATTTGTGAATTCGAGATGGCGGCTTCCAAATAATTTTTTGTTTTTGTATAAATGACGATAACTCCGTTGTTATCAACACAAAACTATTACTGCGACATATCATCTGTGAGAGGAAAAAAAAGTTATTTGTAACTAAGTCATAGTGAGTATGACCTACATTTGAAAAACTAAAGTTGGTGCTGATATCTCCAATTCTAGAAGAGTTGGTATAAATTTCATATTTTTTTCGAAATCACTTTGAAAAACTGCCATGAGAATGTGAAATTTCTATTTGAGTATTTTCATAAATAAAGAAGTTACGGAGGAGACATGAAAATGATCAAAATCTGTTTTTTGCGTATAAAACAAAAACGAACAGATTTTATCAAAATATTTTTTCACATTATAGTTGGCCTTGACAAACTCCACATTTGGTGTCATTTAACCGACCTCGTATCTCTCACCGTTAAAAAGATACCCATGGTGAGCATGGTAAATGGGACACACTGTATAGAGGAGATTCGCATGAAGGAAGGATTTCCTTTTACGGACCGTATAAATCGACAGATAACTCAAAGTAGTTATCATTTTCATCCTCGGAATTTCATTAGGCTCCTCCCCCCGATGAACCTTCGTTCTGATTGGTTAGGGGAGGAGCCTGATGGGACTTCCGTTCGCTCACCTGGTACTCGGCATTGATGCTGTGATGGTCGGAGGCCGTCACGAAATTAGCGGCGCCCGACTGTTGAGAAATCGACCTCGCAGCCCGCTGGATCGGATTCTCGGCCTGCGGGAGAGAATATACACTGTGTTCATTTAAAAAAGATCCGCCCTAAATATTCAAAGTTGAAGCATAGTTTTTTCAATTCCGAACCAAATATAATGTCCATTCAAATATACCGGGTGATCCATTCAAGACTATCTACCCTCGATATCTCCCAGAATTATTATTTTACAAAAAAATGACGAAACAGGTCGATTTCCATATGGAGGGGGACTCCTTTCGACGCAAAATAAATAATCCATACTTCAACCCTATACTCCCCAGATCAACCCCCTCAATAATTTGACTAGGGAGTAAGGGTCGTGTTATATATCATTGCGAAGGTAATTCAATTCTGAAACTATCAGTGGAAAGTTTTTTGAATTCCAACGAGTCGTTCTCGAAATATTCGAGTTAAATTTTTTTATCGCTTGGAGCGCACGAAAGGGAATCCCCATAATGTTCAGAGAACATCATGCGTTCCTAGGGAGGATAGGGATAGGAGGTAGGTATTGGAATTTTTTTTGAACTTCTGGAGATTATATGTTGTTGGGAATACTTTCTCAGGCAATGAATTCCAGAGCCTAGCCGTTCTATGGATGAAGGAGTTTTGATAAAGTGCTGTTCGACATCTTTCGAGGTTGACAACGAAAGGATGTGCTGACTGGGCTTGTCTAGTTCGTCTGACTGGTATTGCTAGTGAAGGGATGATAGCAGAAATTTCTGAAGAACATTCCCCGTGGAAGTATCGATAGAAAGGTCGCCGACCTTTCTACGGTGTTCCAATGATGTCAAAGAGTGAGTGAGTGTGGTATGTAATGTACGGAATGAATGTTGAATGGTTATCCACAACAAATGTTCAAAATCACCTCCATTGACTTCCAGAAATAGAATCTATTTGTAAATACCTTTCGCACATTTGAAATGTTTCTCTAGTTATTGCCTGGCATTCAACCCTAATCTGTCTTAACTTATCGTCCAGATCATAGTAGATTCCGTTTTATAAATAACGGAATTCGAATGACCCCAAAGAAAAAAATCATTGGGTGCCATGTCCGGCGAGCGTGCTGGCCATTTTAATGGTCCTTCACGACCTATCTATTTGTTTGGGAAATTCTGGGGTAGCCATTCTCTCACCTGTGATACGGAATGAGGTGACTTGTTGAGAATACCGGACTTGGTTCCCAATAATGTTTTCCTATGGGTTTATTCAAAATTGGTCATTTATAAAACGGAACCTACTGACCTCGATGATTTGGAGAGAAGAATGAGAACTGAATGTCAAGCAATATCACGAGAAACCTTCTAAAACGTACATCTTTTGTGAATAGATGTTCAATAATCTATTATTCACATTCATTTATTCACAATCAGAAAACATACCGTTCGAACTCGAATATTTCAAGAACGACTTGTTGGAATTCAAAAAACTTTCCACTGCTAGTTTCAGAATTGAATTACCTTCGCAATGATGTATAACACGACCCTCATTCCCTATTCAAATTATTGAGGGGGTTGCTCTGGGGAGTAGAGGGTTGAAGTATGGATTATTTATTTCGCGTCAAAAGGTATCCCCCTCCATATGAAAATCGACCTGTTTCGTAATTTTTCGAGGGTGGATGGTCTTAAATGGTACCTATACAGAATGATGTGCCTAATGGTTGAAAAATAATTCAATCAGATCCATACATAACTATGTTCATTCGGGTCGATTCTTTTTTCAAATAGCAATATGGTTGTAGAGAAGATTTTGCTATCACAGCAGAGATTCGTAAAAGTGGAATTCTAATCATCAATTTCCGGCAATATGATCTGTCCATTTTGATGACATCTTGCCAGTTTTCTTGCAATCTCGACAACATAGAATTTTTGTTTGCTATCTCATAACAAGGTTGAAAATGGCAGTGAATCCTTTGTTTTTGCACTACAGTTTAATCCAAGTGTTGGAAAATTCACAAAATCGGTGATAGAAACATATAAGAAGTTTACTTTTGTAACTAACTACTTGAAAACCCTTCCTGGAAGTTTCAATTTGTAGAGCAATTATGAGACTACAATTTCGGCTTATCAGATCAGAGACACCAGCAATCTGTTTGAGTAGCCTGATGGAAAGTTCAATGAGCTATTTCACTTGAATAAGCCAGCAACATGAGTGAATCGGTTTTTTTTTCAAAAAACTTAGGATCAATTCCATCTAGCTCTTGATAATCTTCTTATTTCCGGATATTACTGATAACTTGCACCATTTTGTACAACTACGACCAGATTCAGCAAATACAATCTGTCAATTTCAATAATATTTCAAATGTCTGTCACTTTACAACTCAAAAACAGTGTTGCCAGTTCACAATGTCGGCTTTTTTCACTAAACAAATATTCAAGAACGTCAAAACAGTGGCCGTGATTGGGGATTGGCTATGGAAGCCAAACCACAGTTTTCTATTATTTGTGAGTATTGAAATAAAGGTTTGTTTGATACTCATGTGATTTTTTGTAGTTTTAGGTTATATTTTTTTGGTTTTATTGTTTCACTCATATATGATAGGCATGGCCATGTAGCAGAAAAAAGGTAAATTTATCACTGGAGGCTATGTGATTCACATATGAGCGATGGTTTCTTCAGTATTTTCTCTTTTGTTTCCTGGGTCCTCTATGAGCAGGTCACAAAAAAAATCTCCACACGAGCATTTCAAGATATATCAGCCGCAGACCTACTTGATTTGAAGAACTCAAACAAACCACAAAGGACTGAAACGGCAAAAGTAAAAGCAACAAATTTGTTGACATGTTTCAATGATAGATAATAGAGTTGACTTTTTGTACTACAAAGTCTGTCTGTCTCTCACATATGAGAGACGAAGCACCTTGGGTAAGTTCAATGTCGCTCATATATGAGAGACATGGCACGCAATGTGTTGAGGAGCTCAAAACAGACCTATCCGAAATCTGATATTACCAAATAGGGGCCAGGTAGCCGTGCGGACAGAGTGTCTATGTTCTAATTCGCATTCGCCGGTCGTGGGTTCGATTCCCATCGACTGCAGAAATTTTTTTGATAGCCCAAGAAAGTGTTTGGAATCACACGTTAAAAGGTAAGACCCCCGTCATTCCTTGCCCGCACAAGACTTTCGAAGACTTCTGAGGGTTGCTCGTAAGGGGGCAACCGAATGACGGATAGAACAATTTTTGAACAACAAAAGTTGGTATTTATCTATGAGAAATAAAAACCCACAGTCATGTCCACTAATGTTCCAAAACAACTACTTTCCTGGCTAATGCCATGCAGAATATTGTATTACATCCTCCTGATTTGTATGAAGTGTTTATTTCCTGAATGCCTTAATAACAAATGGAATTCTAGTCAAGCAATCAGGCCCTCCCATTTCTCACCGAGATGGAAATTTCAGTTCTCGAATATTTCTTTCCGTCTATTCTACATGTTGCTACTCGCCTACTTCCATAATGCCATAGGGAAGCTTCTCTGAGATTACAAATATACCGTTTGGATTTTTGTTGGGTCAGGTTTTACTTGCTTGGCGGTCTTAGGGCCGCTGGCTAGTGACTGTCCTACTCTGATTAGGACCAAATGTCCGAAACAATCAGTATTTCTTAAAGAAGAAAACAAATTCAACATACGCCAACCATATATTAGAAGACCATAGTTTACATGATTATTTGAAATGCTACACATAGAAAATAAAGAAATGAAACTAAATCATTTTGAATCATTAGAAATCAACACACTCAAAAATTCTGACATTTTACTCAACGATCAATTAGACCTACTGTTTAATATGTTTTCTTAGTAGGTAATAATATGTATTTGCTATCAACCCTTTTTTAATGTAGATTTTGTGTCTAATTTCCGAAAATGAAGGTTTATTGAATCTTTCCACAGGTAATTCTAATCCTTCAGGTTGAGAGAGTAGGATATACATGGTGTTCCTTGATGATATGCTAATATTCAAGTGGCCGATTTTTCGACCCATTTCAAGAATAAAACTTCATATGAACGTATGTGGTAAACGTCCTAACTTTTGGGATACAGGGTGTCAATGTTGAGAATATGCATAGATTTTTTTTGTCCACCCTGTATTGCTTTTCGTGATGGCAAAATTCAGTCTGCTATGTGACTAAATCGGTATACAGATTTCAAAATGTTACATACCGTGGTTATTCAGTAATCGAGTACTCAGACACCAAAATTTGAAGTCTGGTCTCGTTTTTCCGTTATTTCACGAAAACGAAGCGTTCTATCGAGCATCAACAAGAGGATCTTTTTTGTACATAATTGAATAGCCTTCCATGACATTGTATAAAATTTGCAATGGTTTTGTCGTTGCTCACTTTTAAGTAAAATATAAACAATAATATTCCCGTAACGGTGCCACTGGTAGAGAAAATCAAAATTTTTGTACATCAGAAGATGCACCTTGATGCATAAAAGACGTGTACCAAATTTCATGAAGATGTATACAATATTGTCTCAGTTATTATCAAAAAACTGAATATTTTTCAAAACTTCATCACCCTGTATCTCAAAAGTTAAAACTTTTAGGACATACGTTCATTAGAAGTTTTCTTCCTAAAATAAGTCGAAGAATGACCCCCTTGAATATAAGCGTGTATTTAAGGAACACCCTGTACAAGTTTGGCAAGCCAAGGTTAGTTTAGTTCATTATACCATTTGTGAAGTTTTTACATTTGCCATAGATCTCCATCAAGTAACGGCCGAGTCAAATGAAAAAAAAAGTAGTTGTTTTTCCACCATTAATTGTTGTTCATTTTTTGAACATATGCGGAAATGATTTTGAGTTTTACTACTTCCTATCAACATTTAATAGCACTTTGAACATTTTAGCAGTTTCGTAGATGTATTTACCTGTTCCTGGAAGGTGCCCCCCTGCGTGCCACGATCGGAGCTGTTGATCAGCGGGGTGGAATCATCCGCATCCGAATCGCTGTCGGAATCGTGGTGCGGTTCGTCGTGAGCAAACACTTTGCGCTTGCAGATCGGACAGACGCGTCTGTTCTTCGTCAGCCACGGGTCGATGCACTTCGAGTGGTACACTGGAGAATCGGAGAACGTTAGAAGTATACCCTTCGATTATTTACACTAACAAGATGATCCAACTCCATCAGATTTATTGGTCCCAAAGCATTGTGCTTAGTGATCCGAGCATTTTACGAAAACACTTATAGGGAATTCCATTGGTAGGAACTTGATTGATTGATTGATTGATTGATTAATAGCAGAATGATTAGTCAGGGTTCGAAGCCCTGTAGCCTTTGGGCCTATTGTATTCCTGATCATGCTGTTGACTTAAGGGAACAGGTTCGCTACCTTGATAAGGTTCAGCAGCCTCTTCACCAAATCATTCGTTGGAAAAGCCACTTGATAGTTTAATGCTCCCAGAAGGTTGTATCTCCAACGAGCTAGTGCTTCGCACTCCAATATTACATGTGTGGCAGTTTCCTCCTCCTCATTGCATAGTCTGCATATGAGTTCGTCTGTATAGATGCCCATTTGATGCATATGTTTCATCAAGGGGCAGTGACCGGTTATTAGTCCCGTCACTTGTCTGATCTGACTTCTCTTTAGGCTCAGAATGTCGTTAGTCACTGTTCTGGACAGTGTTCCAACCATCAGTTTACTGTGTCTTTGTCCTGGGACATTGTTCCAGTATGCCTGATGTCTTTCTTGCATCCACTTTGCCAGCCAGCCGAGTATTGAGGTTTTGGGGATACAGAACGCAGGTTCCGATCCCATAAACAACGCCGCAGACCCTTGCCTACCAAGAGCGTCAGCTGATTCATTGCCTTCAATTCCCTTATGCCCTGACACCCATTGAAGAATTACCTTGTTTTGGTTAGCCAGGGTTACCAGGCATTGAGGGCAATACCAGACCAGTCTTGATCTGATTTTATTGCATGTTAAAGATTGAATGGCCGCCTGACTATCTGAGCATATGAGGATTTCTTTTTACATCTGTATCCTCTTACGATATTATCTCTCAGACATGCCTCAATAGCATGCACCTCTGCCTGGAATACTGAAGCATACCTCCCCAAGGAAGCACGATTCCTAGTTCTGGGTCTATCTCCATATATTCTGGCTCCCGTACCCTCATCAGTCTTAGAATCGTCAGTGTACCACATTAACTTGCCTTCCTGACAGTTAGTCAAGACCATTTCATCCTAGTAGAGCTGAGTGTTGAAGGGTCTGTAATAGTTATTTCTAGGCAGCATTTTGTCACTTCCCATTTCCATTAGTGGGTTTGAAACTAGGCTGATTATTTCTGTATGTCCCAGGGAATCACCCCTAGCATGCCAGTTACCACTACACTCCAGTCTGTGTGCCCCCATCCTCGCTTCCGCCTTGATGAAGATTTCAAGAGGCGAAATATTGAGTATGGTTTTCATAGCAGCGGTAGGAGTGCTGCGCATTGCACCTGTGATGCAGAGACAAGCTAATCTCTGGAGTTTTGAAAGTTCCATTATAGCTGATCTCTGTTCTGTCTTAGGCCACCAGACAAGCGATCCATATACAATCATTGGTCTCACCACAGCAGTATATAGCCAATGTACCATGCGTGGTTGCGATTTTACTAAATATACTATACGCTAGCACATACCACGCCCACCGTTATATCTCATCTTCAAAGTACTTTACTTAGGCAAAACTCAGAGACTATTTATCCTCAACGAACTAACATATCCCTGATTGCAATATTTTTGAGGAAGGAAAACCGAATGGAGTGTAGAAACACATTGATTAATAATATATTTCAAAAGTTGAGTTCTTCAACAAAATTGAATAAAATGAGACTGTTTATCCTAAACGCACTAACCTATTTGACTTCAAATATTTTATGAAAAAGGAAAACCAGAATGAAGTGAAAAAACATTGGTGAAAAAAAAGTTGCAAAAAAAAATTCAAGTTCACAGCGATTCGAACCATGGACCTTCAGACTGAAAGTCGACAGCGCTAACCAGTAGACCATTTGGGTATATGAATTTACTGCGTACAAGAGATTGACAACGAGAGAGCTTCAGTCAAATTCGTGTCAAAATCATAAAAAGTGTATTATTGCGTTGGAGCACAGTATATTTAGTGCGATGTGCTGACTCCGAGTATATCGGTAATGTTTGGAGATATGACGTATTATGGTGGGCGTGGTTTGTGCTAGCGTGCAGTATATTTAGTAAAATCGCTGCGTGGTTTCAGTCCCCATGTGTTACCAATCACTCTCCGAGCAGCCATTAGTGCCATTTTGCCTTTGCTGACAGTCTTTCGCAGTTGAGTATTCCAGGTTAGCCTAGCATCTAGGGTTACTCCTAGATATTTAACCTCCTGTGTCATACTTAGCTGTGTGTCAAAAAGTCTGGGAACTTTCAGTTTGTCCAGTTTCTTCTTTTTCGTGAAGGCCACAAGTGCAGTTTTACTAGGATTGACCCTGAGGTCTGCCTTTCTGCACCAGCCCTCTACTATCTTCAGGGCTCGCTGCATCAAGTCTGAAATAATTTCAGGATGCTGTCCCTCTACCAGAATGACGACATCATCTGCATACCCTTGTGAGTAAATTCCTACTTTGTTTAGTTTTTTCAGGAGTTCGTCAATAACCAGATCCCACAGCAGGGGAGAAAGAACTCCTCCCTGTGGGCAACCCCTAGAAATCGTCACCTCCATGGTTTCCTTCTTACTCGCATGTGTTAAACAGAAAACAGAGGTGAATATACACTGAGTGGAGAAACTCCACCAGTGCCTGCCAATGGAATTCGCTTCAAGTGCAGCATTGTAGTGCTCGGGAGCACTTTTCAGGATTACTAAGCTAAACCTTTCTACACTTATTACCTGTCGAAATATAAGAAAGTGTCCCTTTAGAGATTGGAGAACACACTTGTCATGATATTAAATAGCTGAAGAAAAAACATGAGACACAAATATATTTTTCTACGGCTATAACACAAAATTGATCTTGTTTTATTGTGTTCAATACATCAATGAGATACTTTGTTTGTCCAAAACACCAAAAATAAAATTGATGGATGGGTATCGACTGAAAAATCCTCTTCAACTTTAATGCAACAACATGCCATTCATATAGGTAAAAAAATTTACGATAAATTGCCTCTTTCTTTGAAAAAAATCAGTTTTTTTGGATTCAAGGAAAAATTGAATCATGGTTTATTGAGAATTCAGAAATTTTGGAAATTTTGATTATATGATAAAATACATAGGCAAAATTTCATGTCTTTTATTTTGGAAAATTTTGTATTATTGAACGAGTATTCCAAAAAAAAATGCTGCAGAGTGAAAATCAACGTATTATATTGTTATCTACACTTACCATGATTACAGGGTAATATCCTGATTTTTTCTCCTTCAATATAGTCATCGAGGCAAATAGCACAAGTCTCGAATGGATCCCCTTTCTGAAATTTTCTTGTCGGAATTTTATTCAATGTCGAAGTAGGCAGTCTGTGTCGCCTTTGTCTTCTTCTGTCTTTTATGAATTTCCAACCCTGAAATGTGCATTCATTCAAATTCAACTCAACAAACCCCCGGTTCAGGCGATGTCATTATTGATATGATTTCTGCCATATGTGTAAAAAATTGATATCGAGGAAGCATGAGACATGTAGTACAGATGGTTAGTGAGATGTGTATGAGTGGGCAAGATTTATTGGATTATGTATTCAACAAATCAGACAATTGTGTTCAGGTCAGAGAACAGTCTATCCATCAACAGACAAGACAGATACCGATGCGAAATAGTTATTTAACCATTTAGTGTGTTAATGAGGGCGATTAATGATCGAGATACTTCAACGTGCCAGCGAAGCAAGCGCGTTAATATCCGAGATCATTGAACGCCTTTTAATATACAAGTTAGTTACAAAATTTTTCCGTCGATTATATTTCTCATTTCTCCTGCAATGAAGAAAACTTGGTTCGCGAATTCATCATTCATCTGGAAACTGCTAAGAATCGCCCAGTAGCCTTGTTACTGACATTAGTGACATTTGACATTTGTCGAAATGATCAACATAGAAAATAAATTCCTTGTGTTAGAAAACAGGGATTAAAATCGTGTCAGAAAATTGGAAAGGCGAACCCGTTAACGGAAAAACTTTGAAGAAATCCATATTTTCGATTTAAATGTAGATTTCGTGAGTTATAGCATAAACAATGAATGCACGCGGTGTATGTTTGGTTGCCTATAAAACAATGATATTATATGGTTTATTGCAGTATAAAAGATTGTACATAAGTAAAATGCATATAGTCCAATAAATAAATTGAAAAAGTTATCATTAATTACGCACTATTTTCATCTTCCGGTTGGAAGTAGCTTTTGGTACCTCATTAAACTTGAGACAAAGTTTGACTGGAAAACGCGTGCGATGGCGGAGAAAATGGCCCCAAAAGACCAGAAAGATAGGTTTTCAGCCAATATCTCCTAAAATATGGCAGTTAGAGATTTTCGGTTCAGATAAAAATTGAAGTTCAGTTAATTTTCTACAAAAATGGTCCTTATCATTTTTCTCGAAAATTCGCCCGGTTTCGAGAAAAACGGCACGAAGCGCACCTCGGCACCATCGGCGGGGGGACAAATTAGTCAATAACTTTGTAGAAAATGCATATTTTCTCATGATTCAGAGTTCATGTGAGAGAGGAATTCTGCTGCTATCATACCCTGTGAATTGAGTCACGCTTGACTCTTTTGGCCATATCGGAACATGGGTCAAACTTTCTGCTCCCGGTCAATTTTGACCTCGCCGAAAATGGCTGCTTCAAGATGGCGGACAAGATTTGGTCCGATTCCATTCAAAATTGGTAAGTGGGGGTTTTTGTGGTCGGTGATCATGATTTTTTTGTTGAAATTTATGAATTCTAGATGGCAGCATCCAAATCATTTTTTGTTTTTGTATAAATGACGATAACTCCGTTGTTATCAACACAAAACTATTATTGCGACATATCATCTGTAAGAGAATAAAAAGTTATTTGTAACTAAGTCATAGTGAGCTATGACATACATTTGAAAAACTAAAGTTGGTGCTGATATCTCAAATTCTTGAAGAGTTGGTATAAATTCCATATTTTTTTCGAAATCATTTTGAAAAACTGCCATGAGAATGTGAAATTCCTATTTGAATATTTCCATAAATAAAGAAGTTACGGAGGAGACATGAAAATGATCAAAAACGAATAGATTTTATCAAAATATTTTTTCACAGTATAGTTGGCCTTGACAAACTCCACATTTGGTGTCATTTAACCGACCTCGTATCTCTTACCGTTAAAAAGATTCCAATGGTGAGCATGGTAAGTGGGACACACTGTATATTTTGATTCCTATGTAATTAGGTGAATGTTGACATATTTGTGAACGTGAGTAATAGACATTAATAGACAAATCGATCATTAATAGGGGTCATTGATGAACGATTTCATGAACATTAAGCTTACTCGTTAATACGAGGTCGACGGATAAATAATATTCAATAAACTATAAACGGCTCGATCACTCACCATAAAGACGATCATCACGACGAAACAGATCCCCACGACGATGGCGAAGGGGATCAACAGGTGCGTCTGGATGTTGAACGGCGAATCGCCGGTGATGACGATGTAGTAGTTGGGGTTGGCGTATCCCCGCAAGGCCGCCCCCGACGTCTCGCCCACGAACACCGCGGGGATGTAGATGCCCGTTCGGTTGCTGGCCGCCATCGGGATCAGCTCGTCGCTGCCCACATTGTGGACGATCACGGCGTCGAAGCCGGCTTTCTGAGCTATGCGGACCTTCATACAATAGATAGATTGATAGATTTATTGGTCATAATAGAGAGTTGAAGTGTTGCCACGAACGTTCACGTTAACGTAGAAATTGACAGCTACGCATGCGCATTTTTCAATTCTTCACGTTCGCGTTGGTAGTGGGCTCACGGGTGTACAGGGTGGGCAAAATTGGGCGTTTTCACCGTCTATCTCAATAACTAGATGAGTTATCGAAAAACCGATATACATGTTCCGGGTTCGATGTTGGAGAAACCTCGAATGACACAATCAAAATTTCGATATCTTCATTCGTTTTAGAGATACAGGGGGAAATTGAAAATTTGCCGATTTCGATTTTATTTTCTGACTACTTTACGGTGAGAGGTATCAAAAAATTTCAAACGTATATTCATACAGTATGATGCGTGGAATCCATTGGCATTATCAGAAATTTTATACAGGGTGACGTTGAGAAGATACGGCAGCCAATTATGTTTTTTCTAATGGAACACCCCGTATATTTTGGCATAGTTGAATAGTCCCAAGCGTTCTCATTACAAATATATATAACCCTACCTTTTCCTTCAACAATTTCAGATATATTCGCAAAAATATATTCAGTGTGTCACATTTCTTATGGTTACACCCCCGTATCTTCTGTAGAAATAATTGAGGTAGGATTCAAAAATTCGCAACTGTCTGGCAGAATGCCTGAATATGATACTTTGCCCATTATTTCTAGTATCCAGTATTCCATGAAAAAAATTGTTCTGTATCTGGAATTTGGACATCTTCTATAAGGCTATATTTTTCAACGCAACCTACTGATTTTCTAATTGAGTAAATTATTGGTATTATTTCTGTATCTCAAATGTCTTGATAACAATGATATCAAATCGAATAATTTCCCATTTTATTCCTCACCAAATATCCATTTATCTGGAAATTACATTCCCTATGATATTTATTTTCCACATTTGGTGAATATATACAGAGTGTCATTTTCAACCTCGATTCTGCCTGTTGATAGCATTATCCAGAAATATCGATGATTCCATAGCTGCTGGCGAGCAGTGTTATCATTGGAGATGATCCCACTTGGTCCATGACTCCATGAGTGTATCATTTGTATCTTTCTGACAGTTGCGAATTTTTGAATCCTACCTCAATTATTTTTACAGAAGATACGGGGGTGTAACCATAAGACATGTGACACACTGAATATATTTTTGCGAATATATCTGAAATTGTGGAAGGAAAAGGTAGGGTTATATATATATTTGTAATGAGAACGCCTGGGACTATTCAACTGTGCCAAAATATACGGGGTGTTCCATTAGAAAAAACATAATTGGCTGCCGTATCTTTTCAACGTCACCCTGTATAAAACTTCTGATGATGCCAATGGATTCCACGCATCATACTGTATAAATATACGTTCGAAATTTTTTGATACCTCTCACCGTAAAGTAGTCAGAAAATAAAATCGAAATCGGCAAATTTTCAATTTCCCCCTGTATCTCTAAAACGAATGAAGATATCGAAATTTTGATTGTGCCATTCGAGGTTTCTCCAAAATCGAACCCGGAACATGTATATCGGTTTTTCGATAACTCCTCTAGTTATTGAGATAGACGGTGAAAGCGCCCAATTTTGCCCACCCTGTACAACCCGAATAATTTGAAGTAGTTATAGTATTACTACTGATAATAACAAAGTTATATCCGCGGTCACTTAATTTCACCTTCAGTTCGAAGGAGCAGTTGAGGTGGTCGTTGTAGCGCGGAACGAGCAGCACCCACTTGCCGATCTCGTTGTCTATGTCTGGCGGAGGCGCCAAGGACCTGTTGCAACCGCTAGGTGGCGATGGGGTCCACAGTATCCCTCGGATGGCTGCAAAAAAAATTCGCATTGGGACACCCAGTATACAATATTCCTAATCGATAGGGAATTCGGTCCTGAACAAAAACTGACCCATAATATTTCATCCTAAATTCAAAAAAAATAAAGCTGTCGATGACTTTTTCAAAGATAAAGTGATTGTGTTAGTAGAGGATGGTAGAGGTATTCTACAGTGTGTCCATTTAGTGCGTAATTCTTCGATATCTCGAAATTAATTATCACAAGAGAAAAACTTTGGAGAAAAAACTTTTTCAGTTACTGAAGTTGCACATTTTGGGGCAACTCGAAGACTAGTTTTTTCAAATGGAACACCCAGTATTGTTCATTCGAAATTTATTCTGCTCAAGTTCAGCTCTACATCGCTGTGAAGAAATTGAATTTGGTTGCGGCGTTGCCAAGTTATGATTGATAGACCCATTTTTACTAATATTGAAGGGTCATGTTCAATTAGGTATGATATATTTGTTTATTGAAATTTCGAAAATATTTTTGGCATACAGTAGTAGCAAGGTCTCACGTATACCAATCCAGTAATCTTGCGAGATAATCCTCTACAGGGTGCTTAAATTCACATTATGAATATTGTAAGATTCAGACGACGATCATAAGAATTTTTCAAATGGAACACCCTGTATTTTTCATCACGGATTTATTTCGAAATCATTCGCCTTTTCATCGCAGAAGAAAAAATCAAAATCGATTGCGGCGTTTTCAAGTTATGAGAAATTTCCTTATTTTAACTACTATTTCGGGATAATTTGTACCTACGTCATGATGGTTTCCTAATTTGATTTGAGTGTGGGAATATTGCTTGCCACATGACATTCGAAGTTTTACATAGATAATTCAGGTATTTTTGTGATATGTGCATCGTCCAAATTTGAAATATTCCGTAGTCTTGTTACTTATGATTCAAATAATATGTGAAACAAACAAACATGCCAAAAGCAACGCCTGTCTTTGAAATAACTTCTACAATTCAAACAATGAAGATGGGGATTGCGAAAATTAGGAAATTTTTTTGAAATTTGAGCCATTTTTATTGTCGTTATTCCCACAATCCAAATCTCCATTTAACTTGAAGATGGTAAACAAAATGAAACAAACAATATGTCTCTCCTACGCGGCTTTTGGGAGGGAATTCAGCAAAATGTCGAATCTATCCAAGATAATATTTGATTGTGGCGAAAAAAAATCGAACTTGGAGAGCCTGTAAATGTTCCTTTTGTGAAAAAATATATAAATGTCCAATGAACAAATTTGATTATACCGTAGCAACGCAATATTTCCACAATACAAATAAATGAAAGAACTATGATGTACAAATTACCACGAAATAGTAGTAAAAATAAGGAAATTAACCATAACTTGATAACGCCGCAACCGATTCCGTTTTTTTTTTCAGCGATAAAAAGGCGAAACATGTCGGAATGAATTTTTGAATAAAAATACAGGGTGTTCGATTTGAAAAATTCTGATGAATGTCATCTGAATCTTGCGGAATTCTAAATGCAAAATTGAGCACCCTGTTGAAGAACATATCGCAAAATTACTGGATTGGTATACGTTGGACCTTGCTTTAACCGTATGCCAAAAATATTTTCAAAATATGAATTAATGAATATACCATGCCCTATTCAACATGACTCTTCAATAATGGTAAAAATAGATTTATCAATTATAACTTGGCAACGCCGCAACCGATTTCAATTTTTTTCACAGCGATGTGAAGGTGAACCTTGGCGGAATTAATTCCGAATGAACAATACTGGGTGTTCCATTTAAAAAAACTCTTCTTCGAGTTGCCCTGCTTTCATAAAACACCCAGTAATGTTGAAAATAATTTTGAAATGAGCAACTTTAGTAACTGAAAAGTTTTTTTTCCAAAGTTTTTCTCTATAGGCTATGACTTTCGAGATATCGAAGAATTACGCACTAAATGGACACACTGTGTATCCTTTCGAATGAGAATATTGTATACTGGGTGTCCCGTTTAATGACAGTAAATGAATCGTGAACGCGGTGTTTTTCATTTCGTTTTCATCAGCGGAAAAAATACTTACTAGTTTGTCCATTCAACAGACTTTGAAGCTTCAATGATAACCAAGTTACCAATAGTGCTGACTTAAGTTTCAAAACCCTGTACGTATAACTAGTTTCCAACGAATAGGCGAATGGACTATTCTTTTATTATTTCTTAAATAAAATCAACACTCAAATACCTTTCAATTTCATATATTTTTAGAACTTTTCGGGAGATTTTAAGGTGCTAAAATCATCAATAATTAATTAATACGGTAATTTTCAAACGGCTAGAAATTCACCGCGCGTAAAAACTGACGTCACGATTTCGTAAGAAGGGGCAGACTCATCTAACTTATGCGTCCATTAGAAAAATTGAAGTTGTAGGTGATATCTCAGAAATTTGACATTTTGATGGAAAACTGACAAAACCATTGGAAAGATCACCAGAAAGTTCTATCAGAATGTTTCCGAGATATTCGAGAAAAACAAAAATACAAGATTTCAGTTTTTCTCAAATAACTCAAGAATGACTAAAGCTAGTCCGGATTTCTCAAAGATTCTGATTTAACATTAAATTTGCTACAACTTTGCTAATTTAACCGTTTCCCTATCTCTTATAGTTACTGGGATCCCAATGGTGAGGAACGAATTTGGGACACACTGTATAGTATAGTATCTTAAATCATTATTGCTCGGTTTCACATGTTATTCATGGAAGTTTTTCTCACTGCATTTCTCTCTTTCATAAACACATGTAAATAGATGAATCGACGACAATATACAGTCTGTCCAAGATAAGGTTGCACAGCATGGGGATCTTGGAAACGGTAGGAGATACGAAGTCGGTTAAATGGGGAAAAAGTTGCGCATTCGGAGGCTCATACCAACAGCCTTCGAAAATTTTCAAATTTTTTTTTAGTTTTTCAGATATATCGAAAAAAGTGAATTTTTGGAATCTCTATTTTTTTTTTCTCCGTTATTATTAGAGATACAGGAAAACTGAAAATACTTTCTCAAAGCAACTTTTGATGACGTTTAACGTGGTGATACCGATTTTTCTATGCGACGTATCGTATTCGTAGAACCATCATCAACTTTTGTTTTTTAAATACGGCCTTGATAATTCTTTCACAGATTCTGGAAGGTTTTTTTATTCGGAATTCAACCATGTATTATACAAGGTGGTTTGAATGTGTTTCGAACTATTTTTAGCCATCATCAATGTGTTTTTTCGAAATTCCAAAGGAAAAATGCCATCAGTTTCACTTATTTCTGATTATTCAGTGTCAAACATTGATGGACTAGTTATTCAATACTGAAAAGTGAAAAAAAATCCACTAAATTATTCAATGCAGCGCTTCGAATTGTTTATGGATTGTATTCATATTTTAATCCGAAGGAGCTTGTCATAATTGAATTTTTCGAACTAATTATTCCTATAAGTCTATCAATCGGAACTAGTTGATGAGGTATTAGTTTGTTGGCTAATTTTCCTTCAAAATAAGTGGAACTGATGGCATTTTTCCTTTGGAATTTCGAAAAAAACATTGATGATGGCTAAAAATAGTTCGAAACACATTCAAACCACCTTGTATAATACATGGTTGAATTCAGAATAAGAAAAGCTTTCAGAATCTGTTGAAGAATTATCAGGGCCGTATTTAAAAAACAAAAGTTGATGGTTCTACGAATACGAAACGCCGCATAGAAAAATCGGTATCACCACGTTAAACGTCATCAAAAGTTGCTTTGAAAAAGTATTTCCAGTTTTCTTGTATCTCTAATAATAACGGAGAAAAAAAAATAAAATAGAGATTCCAAAAATTCACTTTTTTCGATATAACTGAAAAACTAAAAAAAATTTTGAAAATTTTCGAAGGCTGTTGGTATGAGCCTCCGAATGCGCAACTTTTTTCCCATTTAACCGACTTCGTATCTCCTACCGTTTCCGAGATCCCCATGCTGTGCAACCTTATCTTGGACAGACTGTATACATCTCAAATACAAACTCTGTAAACTTCAACATCATATTCACTCCACTCAAATTGCAATATTCTTTTAACTACTGAATAGGAACGACATGCAAACTTACCTCAAATTGGGGCATTTTTATTTTACGAATCACATGCATTTGAAGTAGTGAAACATACTTTATTGAACGAATATCTGCTGAAAAGCTCCCTCGAATCACAAGAGTACACAAATAAACAGTCAAAAGTGAAGTATAATTTGCTGATATCACTATCGAAAAATCGAAATAATACACACAAGCAAATGAACTATTTCAAAACAATAAGTCCTATTCTCCAAACAGATGGAAGAAAACTGATTTCGGTGTCTGAGGGTCGATTCTCATGAAAAAGTCAATGGTGAAATCCGCATATCGATATAATAATAATAATAATAATAATACATTTATTGTTCATCATATGTGGATATACATTATATACAGTGTGACCCACTTAAGACCGGAGGACCCTTATAAAATCTATAGTGTTTAACCAATTTCTTTTTTTTTATCAGCGGAAGGACTATCCTGAGATCTACGATTACACAAATTTGCATAATATGACTTCAATCTACAGGGCATACTATGTTATTTTTTTCATGTCAAAAATTGCGAAATGACATTAGCGATTTTTTCAAAAAAAAATCGACCCCACCACTGAATTCAGCATAACATCTGAAATGGAATGGAAAGATTTATAAAATGAAAAATCCATAACTTCGAAAAATCGACCTTGTTCATCCAAGTAATCCTAGTTAGAAAATCGGATAGTCTGTATAGTATGATAATATCAGAAGCCAAAAACATCAAGACTATCAAGAGCTTTCAGAAATTGTTGGTTTACATTGATAATGAACTTATTATGAAAAGCTGTTTTTCCGACTTCATTACTTCATTCCAAAAGGGTACCATTCTAGAGATTATGACTCGATAATAATTTGTGTTATCAATTCAAATG